TAAAAGGCAGCAGTTGAAGACAGAGAAACAGAGAAATCACCATAGTGGTTTAGAAGTGAAGAGGTTGTCCTTCAGGATTGTGTCTTAAGAACACTTGTAATCCAAGCAACTGTTGATTGCATTGGTTAGGAAGTTTCTAGGCTGTGTATTACTCGAAGCTGTTAAGCAAGAGTGTGTGTCCCTTGATCAAAGTTTTGAAGCAAGATCAAGGCGTGTGTAGTTAAAGTGTTTCTTCTTACTACTGTTGAATTTGTAAGTGTTTTTGGATATCACTGAGGTGATTGTAGGGAGTGAGTGGGTATACTCAGGTCTAGAGTGTCTCTAGGTTAAATTGTCATTGGGTAGGTTTTAAGTGAGGAGTGCAAGCTGGAGGTTTGACTCTGAATTAATTCTACTGATAGTGAAATTTCTCCCTGACTTGGTAGCTCCCAGATGTAAGTGTGTTACACTGAACTGGGTCAACAACCAACTGTGTTATTTACTGCTTTATAATTACTGCATAATAGTAGGTCTGTAGTGAATGTCACAGTGGATGTTATAACTTCTGTGATAACATCCATCGTGGGCTGGCCAAAATTTACAATGTGAAAATAATTTTTATTATTAATTGATTTGAATATGTTTATTTAATTTGATTAATTAAATTATTAATTAATCCTATTAAATATTTATATTTAAATTAATTAATAATTCTCTTGTTGCCTGATTTTTATTTTCGTGGTTATTTGCTTCTTTGTTTTGGGTTTGCTTTTCCTCGATTAATTCTTGATACTTTGTCTTGGTTAATTGATGAGGTTCTTACCATGAAGCCTCACCATGTGATTTGATTACATGCCTTGACTACTTTGCCCATGTTGTTGTTTGTATACAAGTTTGATTCTGATACTTGAGTCTTTGTTGTTTTGCTCATTGTATATTGTTGACATGATGTCTGTCTTGTGGCTCTTGAATCTTCATGATTTCTTATGCTTAAATCCAAGGGAAGGGTTTGTGGTTGACTGTTATAGTCATGTGCATTGCATTTCTCTTTTGCATCTTCCATCCATTGTATGATCTTTGTTTCCCTTTAGGTTGATTACCTTAGGTTGTATATACTTAGATTGTTCATCCTTTATGTAGTTTCCCTTAAGATAATTCAACTTTAGATAACTTACAGTTAAGTTCTCCATCTCCCATGAGAGAATTAGACACTAGTCATCCTTAGTAGAAATGTAATTCTCCTACCCTGTGACATAGTTGAGAAAGATGTTGATTTTTTTTCCCACTTGAGAGAGGTATGTAGCATACTCGTTGTTTCTATATCCGAGTTGGAGCCCTTCTCTCAATGTGAAGCAAAGATCCATCTTCCGCGTGTTTTTGGTGGTTCAGTTGAGTATTCTCCTTAAGATGACAACTTGTCTCTTCTCCTAAAACCAACTAACAAACATTTCTTTTACCCGTGGTTCTACGAACTACAGATGCTCTGATTTTTCAAGTTTCTTTTGAGAATACCTAAGCACAAGGTCTTAATCCTTGGCGAGCACACTTTTCCTTTTTACACCATTTTCCTTTTCACCTCGTAGTCAATCGAACCACGATTGCTCTGACTTCCTATACATGATACGTAAGCATAGGATTACGATGTTCCTAGCGAGCTACCTTTTTTTTTCCACCTTTACCTTTACTCTATCCACTTTTAGAAAACAGTTAAAAAATAACACAATAAGACAAGAGGTTCCTATAGAGTCCTATAGAGTACTATAGATACTTAGGGTGCTAGTACCTTCCCTTAGTATAACCAACCCCCGGACCTTAGATTCTCTTTTGCTTTGTTTTTTTATTGCATGTTTATGGGTTATTCGTTCTTTTCCCCTTTCCTTGGATAGATTAAAGATCGGTGGTGAATTAAGATTTGTGAGCCTAGTTAACTTAATAGCTATGGTCTCTGATTCTCACTACGACACATGGGTGAAGGTGGCTAATGTAAGAATCAAAGGTAATAAAGGGAATAGTGATGGTGATGAAAATGGGTGTGGCCCGTGTTAGTCTTACCAGGGCTCCACAGTGGGCGCCACTGTACTTGTCCAAAAACACAGATGTGCATGTTCTCCCTTCAAGACCAGGAAGACTCATAGGCCTTGGTAGGTTTATACCGCGATATGATGGCCAGGGCTTGCCCAGGATGGCGAGAAGCCCTGTACGGTCATATAATGTGATATTTAGAAATACACATTCCCACACAATGAAGAGATGAATATATTTCTCGCTTTCAAATCACAAGAAGTCTTTCTAATCTCACTTTCATTCCATTCTTTTTGTGGTTTTTTTAACGGATACACCATTAACGATCTTTTGAGAAACAAATGGTCTTTTCTTTTTTGATTACCAATAATTGTGAATCCATAGACATAAGGTATGCGTACATGCATTCCTTCCCAGATGAATAATTTTCACTAATTAAATTAGGAACTCTATTATATGTTCCTTTTTAATTATATTGCATCTAATATTTTTAGGAAGAAAAAAAACATAGATGTGGAAGCTTTTTGTGGTGAAATATATTTGAAAATAGTTTTAAGCAACTTGAAGGTTTGATCGTAACTGATTGACACACTAATGACATGGAATCAAACGAGATGCACTATTTTAATTAACCTGAATTGATCAAATACACAATTTAATAAAATTTAATACTTAATGAATTTTATTTTCAAATTACAATTTAATAGTATAATTAATAATATGCTTCGAGTAAGTCTGTTTTTGATTTTCTTGACTTAAAGTTAGTATCTTTGAGCTTTTATATATATATATATATATATATATATATATATATATATATATATATATATATATATATATATATATATATATATATATATATATATATATATATATATATATATATATATATATATATATATATATATATATATATATATATATATATATATATATATATATATATATATATATATATATATACTAGATAAATGGTATCTTTATGAATTTTAAGTTAATAATACACGAGAAGGAGATTTAGGGCTTGAAAAACATTTTTTGGTTTTTGAAAATAAAAAAAGTAAAAACTCATTTGATAAATAATTTTTTTTAAAATGGTTTTTATTTGTTTTTTAGTTTTAAAAACTTAAAAACTAAAACTTGTAAAAGCTCTTTTGTTTTGAAGTTTCTAAAACATCTAAAGTGAAAACACACCAGAAAACTTTAAATTTTCATTAATGATAGGATTGTAATTAGATTGATTTGTTAAATATAAAATTGCAATAGAAAATGTGTTTTTTCTAGGTTCATATGCATACGGAAATTATTTGAACAGGATGCAACTCATTTTAATCGGTTGGATATCCTCATGTTTATGAGATGTACATTATATATTTGTCAACTTTTTATTTTTTAATAAAATTTAGTTTTCAAATCTTTTATGTACATTCAGTATGTGAGATTATATTAAAAAATATTTAACTTATAGAAAACAAAGAAAAATTATAATTAAAATAATAATTTGTAAATTTGATCCCTTTAAAAAAAATTAAGACTAAGAAAAACCCAAGTAAAATGTAAAATGATTGCAAAGAGTATTTTGTGATAAATTAAAGTAAATTATTAAAAGTTTAATGAAACTTTTGTAACATTTAAAAAAAATTTATACTCTTATTTAATGAAAATATATTGTTAAAAGTTTCATATTGGATAATATCTATGTGTTTATAAATGGAGAAAATTTTCATCTTACATGTCAGTCTTGTAGGGTTGAATTAAACTCAACCACTTATAAACAAATATTCAAATCATATATTGTCTGATATGAAACTCTTAACACACACATTCACACCTAAGACTGAACATCTGAAGCATAAAAATAAATGAAGAGTGACTAGATAGTTGAAAGTGGATAGCAAGTGGTCCACCGAATCTTAAAGCAACTCTATACAATATTAAAAAAATGTGGTTAGGTCTAACTCAATTTTATAAAACTAACTTGTATAGTAAATATTGTCCGCGCTTATAAAAACATATTCAGACCATATATTATCCGAGGTGGGTTATGTCTAATAGAACACTTACACGTTATAAAATCAGAACAACCTATTATTCTTGATACCATATCATATATCATAATGTCATGTAAATAATTTAAAAATTTAAGTCTACTATGATCATTATTGATTAACAATGTGCAATTAATTTATCATGTAAGTATATTATCCCCTTTCTCAATTATAAAATGATTGTTTAAAATTTTAAATTAATTTAATTGATACATAGTTAATTACTATTATACTCCATATTGATAAAAATGATTTTTATAACTTTCTTTTTTAACTACTATTTAATATAAATACTTTTTATCATTTACTTATAATGACACTATTTCTTAAAAGTATATATCAAACAATATGTTAATTAGTTTCTGAAAACAAATCAACCAAACAAATTTTTTCTTTTATTATCTCAAAAACAGTTTCACAAAATACAGGTTCCAAATGAATTTTTATTTTGTTTTCACTTTTCATCCTAAAAACAATTCTTAAAACAAATTTATAAAACAGTTTTAAACCAAAAAATAAAATTGAATCAAACAAGCCCTTAATTTCTGTTTTAATTTTCTACTAGTAATAAATAACAACAATAATAGCTTAAAAATAAAAGAAAAACAGTTGATAGTTTCCAAAACGTAAGAAACTATAATTTTCATTAATTAAATTAAAAATTAATTATGACAATATATAAATTCTATAAATTTGATACCCTCACTGCTGGCACAGTTATCTATATTAGAAAGATCCCATTCTTTAGAATCTATACTTTGCATAAACAAATTGCAAGAACCACCACAAATCAAACCTTGCCACTTCCCAGTCTCTGTTTTGTGCTCTGCAAACACCAAACTCATCCAACATCATACCTTGATCTCAAAATATTAAATACAGCACATTTTTATTTATCCAATTTCTATATAAACAACACATCAACCCACAAAAACACCATCTCTCTTCCCTATGGAGGGTCAAACTCAAAGCCAAAGCCCCCCACTTCCAGCCCACCAAGCTCACACAAAGCCCATCTCTCGTCTCAACTCCTACGTAGCCAACACCCGACTAGGCAAATGGTTCAAACTCTCCCAGAGAAACTCTACTTTCACCACCGAGCTTCGTGCCGGAACCGCCACTTTTCTCACCATGGCTTATATCCTCGCCGTCAACGCTTCCATTTTAACGGACTCCGGCGGTACCTGCTCTGTTTCCGATTGTGTTCCTCTCTGTTCCAACGCTTCCGTTTCGATTTCTAGCTGTACAGGGCCATCTCTTCACGTCATTCATCCTGATGTCTCTTGCAAATTCGATCCGGTTAACCCGGGCTACGCTGCGTGCTTAGATAAAACGCGGAAAGACCTGATCGTCGCCACCGTTGCTTCTTCTCTCATTGGTTGTTTCATCATGGGAGCTTTTGCTAATCTACCACTAGGTCTCGCTCCGGGTATGGGCGCCAACGCTTACTTCGCGTACACCGTTGTTGGCTTCCACGGTTCCGGTAATATCTCCTACCAAAACGCACTCGCCGCCGTTTTCATCGAAGGAATGTTCTTCTTATTCGTTTCAGCAATCGGTCTACGAGCAAAACTAGCAAAACTCGTACCAAAGCCCGTTAGAATAAGCTCCTCCGCCGGAATCGGACTTTTTCTCGCTTTCATCGGGCTTCAAAACAGTCAAGGAATTGGGCTCGTCGGCTACAGCTCCTCAACTCTAGTCACACTCGGCGGCTGTCCGAGCTCGTCACGGGCTTCACTTGCTCCGGTTGTAACCGCAATTAATGGCACAGTCAGTCTACTCACCGGCGGAACCGTTTCCAGCGATATATTCTGTCTAAACAACAGAATGGAAAGCCCAACCCTCTGGTTGGGCCTAGTGGGCTTTATAATAATCGCCTACTGTTTAGTTAAAAACGTGAAAGGAGCAATGATATACGGCATCGTTTTTGTAACCGTCGTTTCATGGTTTCGAAACACCAAAGTAACGGCGTTTCCTAACACCGACGCCGGTGATACAGCTCATGAGTATTTCAAAAAGGTGATAGACATTCACACGATAAAAACAACCGCGGGCGCGTTGAGTTTCAGTAACATAGGAAAAGGGTATTTTTGGGAAGCTGTTATAACTTTTTTATACGTAGACATTCTCGACACAACCGGAACGTTGTACTCAATGGCGAGGTTCGCAGGTTTCACCGACGAGAAAGGGAATTTCGAGGGTCAGTATTTCGCTTTCATGTCCGATGCCACGTCGATTGTGGTTGGGTCTTTACTAGGAACTTCACCGGTGACGGCGTTTATTGAGTCCTCCACTGGGATTCGTGAAGGTGGACGGACCGGGATAACGGCGTTAACGGTAGCGTGTTATTTTTTTATGGCGCTGTTTTTTACGCCGTTGTTGGCTTCGATTCCGGCTTGGGCGGTAGGACCACCGTTGATTTTAGTGGGAGTTTTGATGATGAGATCAGTGGTGGAGATTGATTGGGAAGATATGAAACAAGCTATACCTGCGTTTGTGACAATGATACTTATGCCTTTGACGTATTCAATTGCGTATGGGCTTATTGGTGGGATTGGTACTTACATTGTGTTGAATATTTGGGATTGGGGATTTGAGATTTTGGGTCACTTTGGGTACATTACAAAAACAACAAAGGAAACAACTACTAATACTCATAATAATTCTCATTCTTCTCAGGTCAATGGGGTACTTGAAAATGAACATTCATCGCAAAATCCAAATGATAAAGCAATACAACTAGAAGTACTTTAGTCTGTAGAAATTTATATAGGTTATTTTTTGCAATAATATTTGGCATTTTCTTGTTGATATTTTATTTCACATGGTTGAAATTTTTTCCTATTATTTTGGTGTGAATACAAGATGCAGTTTGGCCTTTTCTTTGCGTATATTATAAACACAAGTTTGATTTTTCCGAGGTGGAAAAAATGAGAAAGAGAAAGTTATAGGAAGGTCCTTCCGAACATGTCTTAATCATTAGCTCATAGTTTGAAAAATATTTTGGATTTATTAATATGTTAAAGCCTAAAGTGCATCTTAGGCTTCGATCCCCATGTATATTCTCCAATCCCTAATCAGCTTTTAAGTTTTTATAACCTAATTATTGTACTAGTTTTATTTTTAAATAATGACATTGCTTTCATTTGTTCGCTTTTATAGGAATTTTGATTCTATTTCCCTATTTGGATTAATACCTTAATTCATTTAATCTAACCAATTTTTCAATTAGTATAGACAAGTGTAAATTAGCTAATTATTGGTAATTTATATTATAATTTTTTATGGAAATAAGTAAAAAATTAATTTAAAACATAGTTTGATTTCTTTTTAATTTTTGAATTTTGTTTTATTTATTTTTATACTAAAAATATGCAATTGAAATTTTATTAAATTTTAATAAGTCAATATAATTTATTGATTAACAATTATTTTTTTAAATTTATTTTGTAATTGCAAAAAAATATAATAGAGGGAGACTACTGGGCATATGGTTGTAAGAGATATATAGGAGACATCATGGGTCGAATAGTAGAGGAAGAAATAATTTTCCCTATTTTCTTTATGAAGTTAAGGAATAGGGGGAATCGATTCTTTAATAGTTTTCTCCATTAAAGAGAGAACAATTTCGTCCCTTTTTTGCATTTGATTGACTCCCTTCATCATAGGGGAAGTTGGTGGCGATCTATTATAAGCCTCTAGGCAAAGTGGATTGGGTGAGCGTTGACCCGTACGACTTATCTTATGACCTTTTTATTAGGCTTTAGGTTGTATGAGTTATGGGTTGTTCTCTTCTAGAACCTAATCAGAATTACCTCAGTCCATAGTTCCTCGGAGCATGAGGCCTAAGAAGAGGCGGAGTGATTTAAATTAGGCAGAAGGTAATTTCTTTTTGGGCAAGAATTAGATAGTCGAGTCGCTTAGAAAATACTTTTAAAGGCAAGTCCATTAAGCGATACTTTAGATAGTTGAGTCCCTCAAGTAAGACTTTAAAAGACGAGTCTCTCGTGCAAGACTTTAAATATCCAGGTCTCTTATACGAGACTTCAATAGTTGAATTTCTTAGGCGGGACATAAAATGTTGAGTCCCCATTTATAACTTTTTGGTCTTTGCTTATGTATTATCTGCATTGTTGCCATTGTCAAAGGTTTTCTTGCAACATCACACTTCAGCAACTCTTTAATGACAATACTTTTGCCTTGGTGGTATGTTTATTGATTTATTTTTATTTATGTTTCTTTAGTAGGTTAAGATATCATGCGAGACTTAGCTTGAATGACAGTTATAATTTTCACTCATGACTCAAACGACATGGTTTTTTAGGGCGATCATTTTATAATCATGCCCTCCGAGGTCTATTAACTAAAATGTTCATACCTTGTTTCGATTTGTCTTATTTTATTTGGATTTCTTTCTTCATTACTTTAATGAGTTTTGAGGCGTATTTATTTAGGTCACTATGCCTGAATAGATTTTCCTCTTGGGATAAGTTCCTCAAGTGTTGCTTGGAGAGATTCAAGTTTTCTTTGACGAGGATTCTTCATTGAAAGCTAGAAATTCATATGCCTGATAAAGCAACAAGGATCTTTCAATGTAGGTCCAACATTCATATACTTGATAAGATGGGATTGAGGGTTTAACATTCATATTCCCAATTAGGCGACAAGAATGCTTCTGTGAAGATCCAACATTCATATGTCTAATAAGGTGGCAAACATCCTTCAATGAAGGTCCACCATTCATATGCCTAATAAGACGACAAGAATGCTTTAGTGAATGTCCAATATTCATATGCCTTATAAAGCAACAAGAACCCTTCAATGAAGGTTCCTCTTTCATATGCCTGGTAAAGCGACAAGGATCCTTTAATGAAGGTATAATATTCATATGTCTCACACAGTCAACAAAGATTCTTTAGTGAAGGTCCAACATTCATATTCCTAATAAGGCGAAAAGGATCCTTTTATGAAGGCTTAACATTCATAAGTTTCATAAGGTGATAATGAGAAAATTTTACCCCATAATCCTATATTTATCCCAATACCCATACGAAATAAAATTTTAGACGAAAATACCCATGTATAAATATCAATAATTTCAATTTTTCACTTTTTTCCTCATTTCATCTCAGCAACAACAGTTAAAAGTTTGAAAGCAAATTTTACTTTCGGAAAACTCAAGCAAAAGACTTCTAGTTCACAGCTTTCTACACTGGATAACTAACAAGTGAGTTTTCCGGTTTGTTTTTTTCAATTATTTCGCACCGGATAACTTCTCATCGTGTTATCCAATTTATATATTTTCTTCACCAGATAACTTGGTGCCATGTTATCCGGTTTACATAATTTTCACACCGGATAACTTGGTGCAATGTTATCTGGTTAACATGATTTCCACATCGGATAACTTGGTGCAATGTTATCTGGTTCTTTGAAGTTTTCACCAAAACTCTTCATCAGTAGTTTTCCACTTTGTTCTTTATCATTTTTTAGTGGCTCGTTTTAGAGGACGCGGCGAGCACATTTATCGACGATACCATGATGGAAGGACAGTTAGACAGCAGCCGAATCGAGAGGAAGACCAGATTGTTGCACCTGCACCTGTTCCTATTCATATTCCACTGCATCCACCATTTCCTGGAGGTCTTTCTAATACGTCACTTTTGGTGAGGTATTAGAACCATGTCGCTCGTCATCTGTGGGATGGAGAAGTAAGTCAATCTATGACATTTCAACATTGAATGAAATCTAATTTTAATTATTTATGTATGATGACATATATTATGAATTATTTTTAGGAGAGATCTCTAAAGAAAGAGTTGAAGGTTGCTGCACACTGCAGCAAATTGATTGGATGGGTTCTGGATAGTCTCCCACCAACTATTGATTCGTGGGTATCTGCTTCTGGTCTATCGTCTCTATAGGGAACCAGTTTATCGAGGATATATCAAAACTTGTTATCTGCATTTGTTGAGAGGTGGCACCCCGAAACATCGTCCTTCCATATGCCATTTGGCGAGATGACTATTACGTTGGACGATGTTTCTTGCCTTCTGCATATACCATGTAGAGGGCCTTCTGTAACCCTGGAGAAGGGTTCAGTGACTCAGATTCTATTACTCAGGCTATTCGTCTGATGGGTGTTCCGCTGGCCGAGGAAGCTGAAGAGGTCAGTGTTTGCAAAGGTCTCTATTATAGGCTGGACTGGTTAAAGAAGATATTTGTCGATTTGCTAGCTGCGAGTAGATATGATTGTGTAGCTAGAACATATGTGTTATTGTTACTAGGCTGCATTATTCTTACCGATAAGACCTTTACTCTTGTAGAGGAAAATTATTTACCACTGTTTGAGGACTTGTCTAGCTGTGGTAGATACTGTTAGGGGGCAGCCGCACTAGTCACACTTTACAAATATCTCGGATATGCCTCCTTTTATAGTTGCAGACAACTTAGGGGATATGCCTCCTCTTATAGTTGCAAACAACTTAGGGGATATGCCTCTCTAATACAAGTACAAATGTGTTATTTTAGTTCCATTTAAACCTATATTAGTGTATTTATAATACGTTTAACTGATAATATTCATGATGTGTAAGAATGTTAGATTCATGAGTATTTTCCAACTGTTGGCAAACGAGGATTTACGAAGATTGCTGATATTGGTAGTCCACTTCCTAAGGAGATGAAGTGGATGTACAAGCAAGGAACACAGAAGTGTGAGGGTAATCATCATAGGTAGCTACACTTATTTTAATGATGTCAAAACTTAGATTGGTAGAAAAATGTAATTGGACGGTATCATTGCGTCACATATGCATATCTTATCTCTCGTGAGTCAAACATCCGTCAGAAACATCATTGATACATATAGAAATTGCTAAATCAATGCTTCAGGTAGGGTTGGTCAAGCTTGTCAAGCTTAATATGTGATAGAGTACCTCAAAAGTTGCTTGATACATGAAAATATGCATTTTTGCATATTTTAGGACTTTGAGTCGACTCAAACCTAGTTCCGGTCGACTCATACAGAAAGCTTTTTGTATGGTCTACTCTCAGGAGTGCTCGCGTCGACCCTCCAGTCGACTTATACTCTGTCCATTTCTATTTGTCTAATTCTGCATGCTTTGCGTCGATGCATGACTTGCTTCGGTCGACGTAAAGTTCTGTTTTTTGCACAATCAGAAATTCGGGTAAGCTCAGGTCAACCCTCCTTTCTGCATAGGTCGACCACTCACGTATTTTCAGTTCAAAATGTGTTATGTGAAACTGTCTTTGTATTTGTTATGTTTGTTAATCAGTTTTGTCTTGTATATAAAGTGAGTTTTACTCTTCCTTTTACATACACTTGAAAAACAAGAAAAGTGAAAATAGATACTGATTGTTCTCATCATCATTTGAACAACTACATATAATCGTTTTTGTTATGCATTTTGCTTATTAGAGGTGATAACGTCCAAACATAGGATTGGTATAATCGGGTTTAGGTTGAGAAATCAGTAGGTTTTTCTTGAATAAAACCGTTAGGGTTTTGTCCTCCAAGAATCTTGGATTTTGGGGTTTTTTGCACGAATCGGTCCATCACAGATTCAGCCGAGCGAAGGTAATCGAAGAACGTGTTGTTCTATCGATTTAGTAGCGGTAATCAGAGGATTGTGAGAGGAAGATTCGGGTTCGACACGTTGGTGATTGAAATCAGCCGGGTAAAATTTAAAGACTGCGGGGTTGTTCAAGGGCGTGCCGTAGTCAGAGGTTTA